TTCAACCATATCTTGTACTTTTTGCAAAAATGTATCAGACCTAAATGTGAAACTTAAAAGTATAAAACTTAAAAAAAAAAGGAAGAAAATAATTGTGACCTTGGGTTAAGCAAAGATTTCTAAGAGATGACACCCAAAATATGCTCCATAGAAGAAAAACAAGATAAATTGGACTTTGAAAATTGCAAACTTCTTATCCCAATTACCCTGAGTTGACCATTACACATTGTATGCATGTATCAAAATCACATGTGCCCTCAAAATATGATGTATGATGTGTCAATATAAAAATTACAAATGTTTTCTCTTTAAACAGTGAAAGGCAACCTTAAAGGAATGTAAAAAAAAAATATACAGTCTGGGAGAAAATATTTGCAGATGCCATAACTGATAAAGAACTTGCATCCAGAGTATATAAAGAACTCTCAAAACTTAATAGTAAAACCACAATCCCAATTTTTCAATGGACAAAATACAAATGGTCATTTCACCAAAGGACCTGTGTGGATGGCAAATCAGCACATGAAAAAGTGTTCAACATCATTAGTCATCAAAGAAATATAAATTAAAATCACAATGAAATACCACTGAATATCTATTAGAATGGCTAACTTTTATAACACTGTCCATATCAGGTGTTGGCACTGTTGATGGAAATGCAAAACAACCACTTTGGAAAACAGGTCATTCCTTAAAAAGTGAAACATACACATACCATATGATCCAGTCATTCCACTCCTATGTATTTTTCTAAAAGAAATTAAAACATACGTCCATACAAAACTTGTATACAAATGATCATAGCAGCCTTATTTGTAGTAGCCCAGAACTCAAAACAACAAAAATGCCCATCAAAAATTGTAGTATTGCCAAGTAATGAATAATTACTCAGCAGTAAACAGGAAAAATAAACTCCTGATACACACAACAACATGGGTGAATTTCAAAAATAATTCTGGTAGTGAAAAACAGGCAAAAAAAGAGGGACACACTACATTATTCTACCTATAAAATTTTAGAAAGTGCAAGTTAATCTATAGGAACAGAAAACAGACCAGTGATTGTCTAGGGACAAGAGGAGAGATTCAAAGATATATAAGGAAACTGTTGCGGATGGTACAATTCTCATTATTTTGTCTGTGGTGATACTTTCACCGATTCACACATTTATCAAAACTTACAAAACTGTATACTTTACCTGCCATTATTGTGTGTCTATTATACATCAATAACATGGTTTTTAAAAAGGAATTAACTTGTGTATTCAGATAAAACTTGTCCAAGAAGAACAGGAGAAAGAGCCATTCAAAAATAAATGAACTTGCAAAGCTTTGCTTTTTGATATCTACAACAAAAGATATGCTGCTATACTTGTCATTACAGTACATACTTTGTGTGTTTGTGTGGCAGCAGTGGGTGGTGGAAGGGATTGTGTGTACGTTCATATTAAGGGAGGTAACAACAGATATTAATGTACTATGTTCAGTCTGAGCATACTATCAGATTCTGTGTTATATATCATTTCAGGCAGAAACAGGAACATTTAGCACTCCCCCCAAAAAATATCATCTATGAATTGAACAAAGAACATATCACTATGCAAATAATTTATATTTAACCTTACTAAGAAAAACAAGTATATGATATGATAAAACTAATACTTATATTTCACAGTAGAACAAATAGGATATTATTTTCATTTAGATACCTACTACACGACATTAAATAAACAAATTGATCCAAAAAGAGCCACAAAAATAAAAGTATGTTACAAGATACTTATGTATACATAATGAAAGTAGAGTATTGTGATTAGAAAAAGTCATCTACTTTCAACCATTTTCATTGTCTACATCTATGGAAAAAATAATTCCAAATTGAAAATCACAATTGTTGATTAATAGGTTATTTTTGTGTGATGTTTTGTAAGTTTTTTTCTATTTTTCTTCCCCATGTTCTATTCCAAACTTTTCCAGAATCAGTGTGAGTGGGTAAGTAGCAATCCGTAATCCTTGAAAAGCATCCAAAAAACCTCCCAAGCATCCATTAAAAAAAAAAAAAAAAAAAAAAAAAAAAAAACAGCTTGAATATGAAAGTAATTGAAAGTAATTTAGTCACATTTGCCCAATATCATGAGTTATTTCCTGAAGAAATTATAGTTGCCTTAAGTAAGTCAAGGCCAAAATCATTTTACCTTTAGGATTTCACCACTGATTAATTTCTTGCTTAATTCAGTGGAAAACAAATAAAAATATGAATAGACATTTCTCAAATAAACAATAAACATATGAAAAGACAATCTTACCACTAATCTAAGAAATACAAATATATAACATTGATAAATTAATTTGTTGATTACAAATGTAAGTAGTGATTACTTCTCTGTGGTATTCTGAGTTACTTTTACTTTTAATTTATTCTTTTTATTTCAATGTACTGTCTGACTTTATCAATGAACACATACCATTTTCACAGAATATAAAATTATCTTAAAACCGACTCATTAGTTGTTTGCAGAAAAAGTCTGACCAATGAATCAGGAAAGAATTTAGAAACAGACACAAGCAATTTCTTTAATGTGATCAAAGTAGCATTTCAAGCAAGCATGAGATAGAAAGATTACCAAATAAATGGTACTAGAAAAATCAGCTAGCTAATAAAAACAAATATTTTAACAATCTGGATTCCTAACTCATGACTGACTCTAAAATACTAATTCCTGATGCTACAAAATTTAAAACATAAGAGCATACATTTTTTTTTAATCTCCATAATTTAAAATAAAAGTAAGTTGCAGAACAAAATTTATGGTATAACCCCATCGATGTAAATCATTGTTTCTATAACATTTGTTTTAATTAAAATTATTCAATGAAAGAATATGCACTTAGTAAGTTTCATTCACCATTATACTACAGTCCTTTACCACATTTGCAGGGCATATGACAGGCACAAAAATATATTAGTTGAATGACAAAAAAAGAAACTTTATGCACTATTGGAATTGTAAATTGTGATAATCATTCTGCAGAGACTTTGGCAATATGAATACAATAATAATTTCATAATATGAAATGATTATCCCTAGAGCATCCATTTCTAGGAATTTATCTCAGGACCAATTTCTACAAGTGCATAGAAATATAGGTTTTAGGTATCCAGGGACACTTTTATCATAACAGGAAAATAGTATGCAATTAAGGGGAGAGATGGTATAGAAATAGCCACCCTATAACAGGAATTTGGTCAAATAAATTAAGGCAATTATTTCCATAGAATATGCATTTCTTTAAAAATGTCAATCATTTGCATGAAAATATAGTCATTAATAATTGATAAATGAACAGGTTACAAAACATAATACGGTATCACATAGATAAAGCAGTATACCTAAATAGGCAGGTATGTATATGCACAAGGAAATTTCTGGAAGGAAGTACATCAAAACGCTAGTAATCCTTATCATTTGGTGGTTAAGATTGTGTGCTTTCACTACCACTGGAATTTTCTATATTGAGGTTTTATCTTTGCAATGTTCACAGACTTTGACAATTAGAGAGAAACAATAAAAGTAAATGCATTTGTGAAACAGAAAAGCGTTTCCTAACTTTTAAAAAACGTGACTACATGACAAAGCACAAATTCTATAAAGATTAATCTAACTTTAATACATTTCTTCATTTGATATGAATAATTTATAATATTTCATATTTTAATTTACCACTTGTATTCTATGATCAGGTTTAGATAGTTAATGCGGTTAAGTGGGTTATTTTCTGCATTGGGATGCCAAATCACCTCTGTGGATTTTCCTGTTTCCATAGAATTATCAAGATAATTATCTAAAATACATCTCTAAATGACTGTATCCTGTAAACTTTTATTCAGATGGAGATGAGTAATTTTTGTCATTCTTTAAAATGTGCTAAATATGTTCCTTACCTTTCAATGAAAAGTAAATACTCGTCTTTTTTTATTGTACCAAGGGAGTTGTTCTGTAGCAGAAAAAAAAATCCTGTAAATAAAAATAACAAATACCCGATTTTAAACTTCATTTTGCAAAAGTTTATTCACACATTACTGGACTTGTAAATCATACTTTAATATGGTTAGAATTTTACAACATTAGAAGGAAATTGGTGGCAGATGACATCGCATACACTGACAGAAGACGCACATTCATTAGCACAAAGTCCCCCTCCCATCCCACTGTTCTTCGAATTGAAACCTGCTGCACAAAAGTATAACGCACATCATTTGCTTTTTAACAATACTACCTAACATTTAATACCTTTGTTTTATCTACAAGGTTGTTGCAAGCATTGAGAAGGGCTACGTGGCAAGTTAGCAGCAAGGTTGGGGTATAATATATGCCAGCCTAAAAAGAGAAATATAATAAAAATGGTGTAACTGACTCACGGCAACATGGGTTCGCAAACCTTGTAGATGGATATAAACCAGGCTTGCCAAACATCACAGACAGCACTTATTAAATCAGCTTCGTGGAATGCAATACGCCTGCTGTCTAGTCCCTCCCCCCTCTGCCAATACCCGACTCTTCCCTTTTTTATCCAGTGTAAAAATACATGCTCATAGAATATTTAGAGAAAATCGTTTTGTTTTTAAATCGTCTATAGTCACACTACCCAATGACGCCATTTAGACCATTTTCATTCAATTTTTTTTAAACAGGTTTTTGTCAGGAGACCCTTGACAAACTAAACGGGAAATCGGGATGGGCGGAGAGCACAAGGAAGACACGCCTCTTCTGCCCTTGCTAGGAACTATGACTGGCATTTTTACCTCATGTCTACGTTTTCTTTCTATTTTTTTAATTATAAAACTATAAATATAGACTTTTTGGGGGGTAGGGGGGACACCATCCAGGGGTCGCACCTCAGCCGACGGGCAGCGCCTGGGAAGGTGGGCGGAGCCAGGAGCAGTGGCGTTTGGCCGTTCGTTGGGCGTAGGGTTTGTCAATTAAGCTGGACCAGCAAATGAGGAGCGAACTAAAGGCACGCTGGGAACGAAATGAACGGGAGGTCGGGCTGCAAGGGGAGGGGGCTCGCGATCTAAAACGAGAAGAGATCTCGGGGTCTCATACTGCGCCATTCGGCTGCGGCACACCTCGGCACTCCGTAGCTGCAGCCGGGAGAGGCCTTGCAGCTACCGCTGTCGCCCAGGCGTCCACTGCCGCTGCCACCTCAGCGCCGGCCTCTGCATCCTCAGCTCCAGCTCCGCTCTGCGCCGCTGCTGCCATCGCCGCTGCCATCGCCGCTGCCACCTCCGCAGCCCGGGCCACCGCCGCCGCCACCCAAGCATCCGTGAGTCATTTTCTGCCCATCTCTGGGCGCGCGGTCTTCGCGGTAGAGTTTTGCAGGCTTGCAAAATGGCAGAAGCAGATTTTAAAGAGGTCTCGGAACCTGTCGCCCAAAGTGTTGCCGAAGAGGAGATGGCTAGCTCGGCTAGTGATTCTGGGGAAGAATCTGACAGCAGTAGCTCTAGCAGCAGCACTAGTAGCAGCAGTAGCAGCAGCAGCAGCAGCAGCAGCAGCAGTAGCAGCAGCAGCAGCAGCAGCGACAGTAGCAGCACTAGCAGCGGCAGCGGCTTAAATAGAAAGAAGAGGGTACCTGAGCCTTCCAGAAGGGCGCGGCGGGCTCCGTGGAGAACAGATTTCGTGATTAAGCTGCCTCAGGCTGTTAGAAATCGTGTGCAGGCGCTTAGAAACATTCAAGATGAATGTGACAAGGTAGACACGATGTTCTTAAAAGCGATTCATGATCTTGAAAGAAAATATGCTGAACTCAACAAGCCTCTGTATGATAGGCGGTTTCAAATCATCAATGCAGAATACGAGCCTACAGAAGAAGAATGTGAATGGAATTCAGAGGATGAGGAGTTCAGCAGTGATGAGGAGGTGCAGGATGACACCCCTAGTGAAATGCCTCCCTTAGAGGGTGAGGAAGAAGAAAACCCTAAAGAAAACCCGGAGGTGAAGGCTGAAGAGAAGGAAGTTCCTAAAGAAATTCCTGAGGTAAAGGATGAAGAAAAGGAAGTAAAGGATGAAGAAAAGGAAGTTCCTAAAGAAATTCCTGAGATAAAGGATGAGGAAAAGGAAGTTCCTAAAGAAATTCCTGAGGTAAAGGATGAGGAAAAGGAAGTTCCTAAAGAAATTCCTGAGGTAAAGGATGAAGAAAAGGAAGCTCCTAAAGAAACTCCTGAGGTAAAGGATGAAGGAAAGGAAGTTCCTAAAGAAATTGTTGAGGTAAAGGCTGAAGAAAATGCAGACTCTGAAGACGGTATGGAGGCAATCCCTGAAGTAAAAGAAGATCCTAAAGAAGCCCCCCAGGCAAAGGCAGAATATAAAGAACAGCCTAAAGCAACAGAGGCTAAGCCAAGGGCTGGAGTAAGAGAGGCTCAGAAAAGAGTTCCTGAGGAAAGGCTTCCGGAAAGACTAAGTCTTAAAAGAGCTAGGAGGGGAAAGCCTAAAAGAGAAGACCCTAAAGGCATTCCTGACTATTGGCTGATTGTTTTAAAGAATGTTGACAAGCTGGGACCTATGATTCAGAAGTATGATGAGCCGATTCTGAAGTTCTTGTCGGATGTTAACCTGAAGTTCTCAAAACCTGGCCAGCCTGTAAGTTACACCTTTGAATTTCATTTTCTACCCAATCCATATTTCAGAAATGAGGTGCTGGTGAAGACATATATAATAAAGTCTAAACCAGATCACCATGATCCCTTCTTTTCTTGGGGATGGGAAATTGAAGATTGCAAAGGCTGCAAGATAGACTGGAGAAGAGGAAAAGATGTTACTGTGAAAACTATCCAGCGTCGCACAGCTGCTACTGGAGAAATCCAGCCAAGAGTGGTTCCTAATTCATCATTCTTCAATTTCTTTAGTCCTCCTGAGATTCCTGTGATTGGAAAGCTGGAACCACAAGAAGATGCTATCCTTGATGAGGACTTTGAAATTGGGCAGATTTTACATGATAATGTCATCCTGAAATCAATCTATTACTATACTGGAGAAGTCAATGAATACGGCTCCTACTATCGAGTTGGCAAAGATTACGGAAACAGGAAGTATAGAAAATAAAAAGGTCAATCTCAAAGATTTTTCAAGAATCTTAAAAATTCAAGAAGTGAAGCAGATTCATACAGTCTTGAAAAAAGTAAAACCCTAACCTGTAACCTGAATACTATTATTTCTTATAGTCATGTTTTTGTAGTTTCCTGGTAGTCTGTATTTGAAAAATTGTCCTAAAAAGTGTCTTAAGTGCCAGTTTATGCTATCTAGACTGTGGTAGTATAATATTCTTCAAAATATGTAAGCTGTTGTCAGTTTTCTAAAGCATGTTAGTTTGGTGCTACAGAGTATTGACTTTTGTGATGTCCTTTGGTCGTGTTCCTGTTAGACTATAGCTGTGAAACTGTCAGAATTGTTAACTGAAACAAATATTTGCTTGAAAAAAAAAAGTTTATGAAGTACCAGTGCAAGTGTTTTATTTTTTTCTTTTTTCCAGCCCAGAAGACTAAAGTTTAAATCTGCTTGCACTAGCTGTGCCTTCATTACTTTGCTATATAAATACAGTACTTATGCTAACTAAAACAGTGTATTTTGAAGTTTGACTGCTTGAAAAAGATTAGCATACATTTAAGAATGTCAAGACCACATTTGATTCAATTGAGCGCTTCTGTATTTGACATATAGTGGCCTATAAATTTAATCATAATGATGTTATTGTTTACCACTGAGGTGTTAATATGATGTAGTATTTATAAAATGTTCATTCACCTTATATTGTGTAATTGTAAACTAAAGATACGATGTTTTCTTTGTATTGTGTTCTTTCACTGAAAATAATCACTTCATTTGATACTGTTTTTCATGTTCTTTTATTGCAACCTAAAATAAATAAATATTAAAGTGTGTTATGCTATAAAAATCTAGCCTTTTCTTCTGACTGTAAAAGAGGGTTGCTTATCATAGAAAAAAGTAGAGGATCACACGGAAAAGGACAATTTAATAAAAGATAACTATTATTAACATTCTGATGTATTTTCCACATCTTAGTTTTTCTGTTAGAGGACACTCATTCAAGGTTTTGGAGAGCAATAGGACAAAGAAGGAACAGGGCATGGAGGGAAAGGAAGGGTAAGGGAGGAGAGGGTGGGGATAGTTAAGGGAGGAGGGATAAAGGAGGAATGGGGAAGAAAGAGGTGAGAAAGGGAAAGGGAAGGAAGGTGTGTAGCAGAAGGAATAGGGGGGTGGGGGGAAAGGGGAGAGGGAACTGGAGAGAAGAGGGGAAGGAAAGCTGGAATGCCTCACTCACAAAGGCGATTTATATATAAGACAAATTATGGATGCACCCTTCACCTTGACGTGGGAGGAGGTCACACTACCTTGGCTAATTTTTTCTTACAGGTGACATCAGGCTCTCATCTCTTCACCATGCAGCTTGTCACAGAGTAATTAGATCCTAAGATTTTGGTTTGTGATAAGTGGGAGCAAGTTCCCTCACACTTCAACTCAGTTTACCAGGCAGCTTTGCCCTGGATGTAAAGGGCACAGCAAATAATAAAATGGTATCTCATCTCACATTTGTCATTTCCCAGTCCACATATGTTTTTCTTGAAGCATCACACACTGGGGTCTGTGGGGGGAGGGGGGAATAGGGGAGGGCCAGCTGGGGGTGGGGAGTTGGGGAGAGAGAGCATGGGGAGAAATGCCACATATAGGTGATGGGGAGGAAGGCAGCACATCACACTCCCATGTGTGTACCTATGCAATAATCTTGCATGTTCTTCACATGTACCCCCAAACCGAAAATGCAATTAAAAAAATAAACCTCATAGGAAACTGTAGCCTAAGTAAGACAGGATTTTAGAATTTCTGGCTCTCTAGGCATAAAATGATCTACAATAGTCCTCCATACCCCAGCATATATAGTTTAGCACCTTGCTTTTGTCTCTGCTTAACAATAGTCCCTCCCCCGATTTCTGTAATGTAAAAACTATTACACCCGATGTCGTATTTAACCAACCACATGTGTTTGGATAGTTAGGTATTTTTTATGATTTCCACAACATCAGGAAGCAAATTGTTTTTAGCAATACCACAGTATTTTTTTTTACAGTGCCTGTTTTATTTCTGAGATTTTTGCATCCGTGAAGAATAGTTACGGTAGATTTACTTATATGCCAGAACCAAACGAAGACTATAATAAATATACTGTACCTGGCTCCTGCTGCATAGGTGTTTAAATTGGATATATACTGTACTTGCCAGACATCACAGACAGCAGGACCCTGAAAACTTCTACATGGGATGCAATAGGCTTTTTGCATCTTAGAACTCTTACCAAAGTATTTAGCACCTTCCTTTTCTGTGTTTTCCATATTAAAGGAACACATGTTATAATATAATATTTGCAAAATAGAAGCAGAAATGCAGAAGATAAATATCACTCAGAAGCACACTACACTATGATATGGCCTTTTTGTGGATTGATGTATTTTTTTCCTGTTTGTCTCTTGATAAGGTTTTATTACTGCTTTTTTTTAACTTTAAATCTAGGGATGGGGTAGGGTTGCAGAGAGCCAAAGATTTATCCATCAGTGGGGATGGGATACTGGAAATGCAATTAGTCTGTAGTGTATGCTTCAACCACCTCTAAATGTTAAGGAAGGTGGGCAGATCCAGGAAATCTGGTGGGCTGGCACATGTATTGGGCTGCATGTTTGCCCATCACACTTGCTCAGGTAATGAATGATGTCAGACGGAGAAGCCCGCTAGGAGCTAAGGTAAGGGGGAAGGGGAGGTAGTGAGAAGTGCTCAATGGGTCTTCTACACCTTCCTTATGGTGTGTTCTTTCTTGCTGCTGTGACTCAAAGCTGAGGCCAGCTGCCCCCAGCCCGAGGAATAGGTCACCTCCTCCTCCAGACCGCGACCCCACCCTCTCTTTGTCTTCCTTTGCAGTCCAGACCACCTCCTTGTTAATGAGCTCATTCCTCTCCTGAGTTGGGCTCTGAGTATCCACCTAGTCATTCTAAATCTTGGGTCTTTTTAGTTTAAGGTGGCAGACTCATATAACAAGAGACATTCCTAAGCAGCAGTGACAGAGACTACTAAAAACGTAATGGAAGGAACCTGAGCTGAGTGAAGAAAGTGACAACACAGTCAAAGGATCCAAATGCCCCATTCTGCAGCCTGGAGTGTTCCAAGCCTGGAGGTGCTACACTATCTGGCAATGCCAGTTGATTTGCCCTTAAAAAGCTTCAGGGCGATGTGATAACATAGAAGCTGATTTTTATCAGGAATTGCCGGCTCTGGGAAAAGGTATATATCTTCACTTTATTAGATGTTTGAGTTAACGAGCACATGTATGAAAATGTGGAATTGTGCCTGCAGATTACAGAATGAAAGTCCTGAAAGTGATAAGGTTTCCAATAAGGAGGATCTGGATTCTGAGGTGACTGGTACAGCTGAGAGACAAAAGGAGGCCCAAAGATAGGAAAGGAGAAAAATGATTTAGAAAAAAACTCCATAAAGTAATGAGCATGTGCTGACTTTTTAAAGTTATATTTTATTTGAACAAAATATTTCAAAATCAAGGAGTTGAAGAAGATAGCAGCTGATGTTAAAATGAGATTTCCTTATCCCTTTCTCTTTGAATATTCAGAAAATAAGGTCTGCAAAGAATGTCACCTAGACCAAAGGAAAATAAAGAATATCCTTCTAAAAGTAAGATAATCATATTTTAAAAGGCACACTCCAACCTAAACTGAACAAATTCCCAAAGACTATTTATTTCCTTCGGTTTTCTTGAAATGTTACAGGAAAGTGGAACCCATGAAGAAAAAAGTCAGGTTCATTCATAACTTTGTGATTGACAGAATTTAAGTTACATGCTTTTCTAAATCAGAAATGAGATTTACATTAAACAGAAGAGTCTGTTGGATCCTAGGGTGACAGCAAAACTGAAAGGCTGACAGATCTTGACTCAACTATAAAATGGAAAAGCTGAGTTCTCAAGAACTGGAAAACGCTCAACATCTGAACTAAGAAAACAACATGATTTGAAGAAGCAGAGTGTATAACCTGCAGTATAATATTTCAACACAATTATGCATTACCTAAAATTTTCCATTTTGTGTTTTTTGTAGAGTATATTTTTAAAATGTCAAAAGGGAAGTGCTTTAGTATTAAAAGAGAGCATTTAGAAATATACCTGTCTTTGAGATGAAGAACACACCAAATTCTCTAAAGGATCTTTATTTATTGCTATGTAATTTAGTCCTTATGATGTATTTTTATCATATAGTTATTAGAGAGCTATAGTAAATATTCTCAGGCATTTTCAAAGAAGCTAATATTCACTTGAGGAAAAATACACTTGAAGAATGCATCCAAACTGACACAAGAACAGAAAATCAAACACCACATGTTCTCACTCATAGGCGGGTGTTGAACAATGAGAACACATGGACACAGGGAGGGGAGCATCACACACTGGGGTCTTTTTGGGGTAAATAGTGGAGGGACAGCAGGGGGTGGGGAGTTGGGGAGAGATAGTATGGGGAGAAATGCCAGATATAGGTGAAGGGGAGGAAGGCAGCAAATCACACTGCCATGTGTGTACCTATGCAACAATCTTGCATGTTCTTCACATGTAACCCAAAACCTAAAATGCAGTAAAATATATATATATTTAATATATATATATATATATATATATAAAATCAGAAAAAAAGAAAAGAATGCATCCAAGTGTACGTTTTACTTCAGCTCAGGAGTAGGAAGCATTTAATCATCTTATACCAAGTGTACCTACATTATTTTGCTATAAAATAGACATTTATTATGCAATGGTACATTACAAAATTTTAGCACTTGAATAAAGTAACACAGAGCTAAGAATTTTCAGAAACCCATTAAATATAAATTTTCCTAGATTATTTATTGTTTTGAATTTTCAAGACACAAATATATAAAGGAAAAAAAAATTGTAATTAAGATGTTACTTTCCGTAGTAGTGTTATTAAACGTTGCTGTTTCCAAGTGGTTTCCTCACTCAACCTTTATTCTTCAACTGTGTTTGTTATTTTCAAATCATTATACTTAATCACCTAAGTTTGAAGATGATTAGGCATATTTTATTTGCACTGTGTTTCACCAAAAGTTCTATTTTTGTATTATTATATCTTCTGATTATAAAATGTGTCCAGTATAGGAAATTTGGAATATATATTGAAAAGTACAAAATAATTTGAAACTATTTGAAATTTATTTGAAATTTGACACTTTATATGAAAACATTTCTATGTATATGTCTTTAAACATAATTACTATTTTATACCTTTTGTTTTTCATTTATTATATTTTGAAGTACTTTCTATAACAGTGTAAATCTTCACTCTTTTTAGTTTGATTTATAATTGATGTGTAATAATTGTATTTTTTTATATATGTATATTCATTTTTTATTACACTTTAAGTTCTGGGATACACTTGCAGAACATGCAGGTTTGTTACATAGGTATACATGTGCCATGGTATATGTACCACATTTTCTTTGCCCAGTTAATTTTTGTATTAACAATACTAAAGTTGCTTATCAGCTTAAGAAGATTTTGGGCTGAGACAATGGGGTTTTCTAAATATACAACCATGTCATCTGCAAACAGATGACTTTCCCTCTTCCTATTTGAATGTGTTAAACAGCCTAAATGACCTTATAAAAAACTGATGAAATAAATGAGGATATCCATTTGACGTACATTATACAATGTATACATGCTTTGAAACATCACACTGCACCCATAAATATGCACAATTGCTGCCTGATCAAAGATGGCTGAAAAGGAACAGCTCCGGTCTGAAGCTCCCAGTGATATCAACACAGAAGGCAGGTGATTTCTGCATTTCCAACTGAGGTATC